GGCCGTTAAGCAGGGGTCTGACCCAAAGGTTTAAGACCAGGGAGACAGACACAAAATTAAAGCAGAAAGGCCAAATATTATCATGCTGTTAATCCCATCTAGCTCCTATAGGCCTAAGTGAAGAGTTGATGCTCTTTGACAACACAGCCTCCAAGTCCCTGTTACAATCTTGCTTGAATAAACACTCACCACATCCTGTGAGGTTTCACTTCTGCCTGAATCTTGGACCTGGACTCTGCTGCCTCTCCCGGTTTTCACTGCCCCAGCCATTTTGGCCTTTTTGTCTTCCTTGGTGTTGTATTTTGTTTTCTGTTGCTGTGATAAAGAACATGACTAAACACAACTTGGGGCGAAAAGGGTTTATTTTATCTTACAACTCTCAAGCACTGCATCACTGAGAGAAGTAAGGGCAGGAACTCCAGGCAGGAACTAGGCAGAAGCCATGGAGGAATACTGCTTACTGGCTTGCTCAGCCTGCTTTCTTCTACATCCCAGGACCACCTGCCCAAAGATGGCACAGCCCAGTGGACTGGGCCATCCCATATCAATTATTAATCAAAACAATACCCCACAGACATGCCTACTGGCCAGTCTGATAAAAAAATTTTCTCAGCTAAGATTTGTCAGATATGCTGGGCATTGGTGGTGCACACCTTTAATCCCAGCACTCAGGAGGCAGAGGCAGGTGGATCTCTGTGAGTTCGAGACTAGCCTGGTCTACAAGAGCTAGTTCCAGGACAGCCTCCAAAGCCACAGAGAAACCCTGTCTCGAAAAACAAAAACAAAAACAAAAACAACAAAAAAAGAGATTTTTCAGATATGTCTAGGTTTGTATCAAGTTGACAAACCAACCCATACATTCAGACGATTCTCTTACCCAGGACCCTGTCCCTCTATCCTTTGTGATCAGATACCAGCACCAGTGCCACCTCAACAGAAAAGCCTTCCCTGCCTGTCCACATTGTGGTCACATCCATCATATTGTTTCCTCATTTCTCCAGTCTCTCTGTCCACATCCAGAACCTCCCCTGGGACCCCGAGTGTGTGCCTCCAGCACTCAGCACCCTGCCTTGTGCACAGCTGGGACATACTGGTTGGGTGGATGAATCCCAGATGGCAAGCCCTCCCCTGTGCTGGGGATGGGAAGCCCTCCCCTGTGCTGGGGAGGGACTGTTTCGAACCTAGAAACCCAGGAGACCAGCTCAGAGGCCTCAGAATTCATGGATGCTTGGGAAAGAAGTCATAAAGAGAGCTAGCAGGAGGCCCAGAGCCCCTCCCAGCTATACACCAGGCTCTCAGACTTTGTCCTGCACACAGTATTTCTAGTAACAGTGGCCACACTGATCAAGCATTGCCTGTGCCTCCGTGACTTGGAGACCCTCTCCCTGGCCTCATTCTTAAATGCCATAGACACCGCTGAAGCATTCCCTCCTCACCACTTCTCTTCCTCCATCTACCAGCAGGCCAGTTCCAGCCTGGCTGCCAATCACTCTCACGTGCTGAGGCCCCTCTGGGTTCCTGTCTCCACATCCCTGCTGTTGTGAGAGACAGACAGACTCTGCCAGGAACGGTACTCAGCTTCCTGCTTCTGGGTCTGATCTGCTTTCTCTCTGTACCTCGAAGCAGACTCCTGGCTGTAAGCCAGGCCCTGTTGCTGCTGTGGGTTAGAAGGCAGTGTCTTCTAACCAACCAATTGACAACCATCTTGACTGGCCTTGGTGACAGAGTTAATTCATGTTTGCTTATTTGTTTGTTTTATATATGGAATCCTTCACAAATTTTCATGTTATCCCTTGCATAGGGAACATGCTAATATTCTATATATTTTTCCAGTCTTAGCATATGTGTTGCTGAAGTGAACACTCATGTTAGTTTATTTGAGATGGAGGTTTCTATGTTGTCCAGTCTGGCTTCAAAGTTCTGCCTTGGACAGTCTTCCTGCCACAGTTTCCAAAGTAGCTGAGACTACAGGTATATGCCACCGCGCTGGGTTCCAAATTGTGATTATTTTAATAAAAATTCTTTTTTAAACTGAGTGGCATGCCTTTAGTCCCAGCACTTGGAAGCCAGAGGCAAGAGGATCTTGGTGAGTTCAAGGCCAGCCTGGTATACAAAGTGAGTTTCAGGACAGCCAGGACTATACAGAGAAACCCTGTCTTGAAATCCACCCCCCAAAATTCTTTTTTCAAAAAGACTATTTATTGAGACAGGATCTCTCTATTATGTAGCGCTAGCTATCCTGGAATTCACCAGGCTGGCCTTTACTTACAGAGATCCTCTCTGAACTCCTCTGGAATGCGGGGATTAAAGACACGTACCACTATGTCTAGCCAGTCTATTTATTTTTATTTTATGTTCATGAGTATTTTGCCTACATTTATGTGTACCTCATGTGTGCAATACCCACAGAGGCCAGGAGAGGGCGTGGGAGCCACTGGAACTGTAATCTCAAGACAGTTGTAAACTGTCATGTGGTTGCTGAGAATTGAACCCAGGTCATCTAAAAGAGCAACCAATGCTTTTAAACGCTGGAGCCATCTTTCTACCCACTCACCCCAAATTGTGAAATTAAACTTGAGAGCGAGGCTTTGGGGCTTAAGCATGCTGGGTTTACCTTTTGATCCTGTCAAATGCTAGTTGGGTATATAGCAAAATCCCTAACCCCCATCTGCATCACTATTTTCCCTGCTAACTGGGAGTGGTAACTGGTATGTTTCTCTAGGAATACCTGCAAAGCACAGGGTTTAGAAAATGCTGGAATTTCCGGTTATAAAACGGACTTTGACTGAAACTTTTTGTCCCAGGTGTGCTGACCTCCACTCACCTTTGGCCCCACCCCTCTGTCACCAGCTGCTCCTACTGGGAAACTCAACCCTAGGCCTTTCTCCTGGGTGGGGACCATCTGATCCCAAGGGAGAAATGTTTAGAAGGTTCCTTAGAGGTAAATAGCTGAACTGTCTTGGTCCCTGCTACATTCCTGTGACCAGGAAAAAAAAAGTGGCTAAGAGTACTGTGATACAGAATAGCCCTTTGGTTTTTTGTGGGGAGAATGCTAGGGACTGACCCCAGGGCCTCTGGTATGGAAGTTCAAGTACTCCACTACCAGGTTAGTCCTTCACGTATGTCAGGAGGAGGACTGGTCTCTCTGTAGAGGAGAAAGAATGTTACCTCTACTCTCCCCAGGCCTTCTATCCAGAACCCACAAATTAAACTGACAAAAGAAATCTCAATCTCTCTCTCTGTCTCGCCTCCCCTCTCCTCTCTCATCTCCTCTCTGCCCCAGTCTCTACTCTGACCCCTCCCCTGCCCC